TTTTTTTTTTTTTGGTACAGGGACCTTCCGGTTTTCGAATTCACAGGAGAACCGACTAATCCGAAATCGAACCGGGTAGGACCACAAGGGCGGCAAAGCTCTCCCTCAAAAGTTTTATTTTTGGAGTTCTTTTAATATAAGGAAAAATAGGTAAACTATTAAATCGGGCTTACAAAAAAAAATTCTCTAACTTTGAATCTAAATGTTATAAAACTATCGAATTAAGTTTTAGATTAACAAAACTCATAACACAATTAAATTAATAGTTAATTTGAAGTTTTAAGACACCAAATATGTTACAAAGTAAAAAAAAAATGAAGAAAATTAAAGAAAATACGATATTATTAGAGAAAATTAAAGAAAGTATGAAACTCTTGCTCTGTTTTCTTGCTATTGTCTATTTTCGTTTTTTTTAATATTATGCAAATGTTTACTTATTATTTTATGTGAGTAAGCATCAATCTTGTCTTTTTTTTTTTTAACTCTCAATTTAATGGTGGTATGAGTTTTGTTAATTTTAGGACTTAATTGATAATTTTATAACATTTAAGTCCCGGATTGAAAAAAAAAATTTAGACCCCGATTTGATAGTTTACCCATCTTTCGGGTCTAGTATTGGAAAAAACTCCTTTATTTTTTAACATGGCCAAGGTCACCCGGCCCGCCGACACGACACGGACCCTGCCCGGTCAGACCCGTTTACGACGGTTCTAGGCCCGATCCAGATTTTAACCGGAATCGATCAAGGTCAGACATTTTGCACATACGACCCGGTGGTCCAGGCTGTGCTCGAGCCGATCTGGAAAAAATCAGCATTTTTCAATTTTTTGGAACAATTCTGGATCCGAATCATGTACTTGGCTTGTACATAGGTACAGGCCGATTCAGGGTCGGTGATTGTTAACCTGCCTGGCTCGACCAGAATTTGGTCATGTCTAGGAAGAGGATTGGATATAAGTTTTTTTTTTTTTTTTTCAAACGATAAAACTTTATAAATAAAAACACTAATTTACAACAAAATCCTACCAACATCGCCGAAATCAGCAGCCAAAAGGTCAAAGCAAATGAGAAAACATTCCAAAGGAGCCTAAACACTACAAACTCACCCGTGAAAAAAAAAACACCAAACTATACTCCCACAAGTGGAGAAGAAAACTCCCAAATGGAGAACCCGATGCCCAACCTAAAACACAGAAAACACAACACATATTGAATATAAATTATTTTTGGATCTGTTGGATTACATAGTTCATTTTGAAAAAGTTGATTGAGTTAGAGTTTAATGAGATTTTGAGTTTATATTAAAATAATATTTAAAATATAATAATTAAAGTTGAATTGATATAAAAGTATGAGAGATAGAAATGGAAGTGATGAGTAGTAATAAGTCAAACACTCCGACTGGCTGAAAATCGTCTAGCCTTTGTCTTCTTCGCCGGTAGAACACCGAGTACCTGCAAAAACTCCCACATCGGAGGGGTTCTTCGGTGAAGATCTTCCGATACTTAAGTCAATATAAGCTGTACAAGTCTAAAGAGTATATTGGATAAATAATGTTCAAATCATAAAGATCAATCCTATATATAGATGTGAGGTACATGTTTCTAGAAGGCTGCCCAACTGAGCTGAGGTGGATGCCCAAAGTTGCCCAGCCTGCCCGGTTGTACAACACCGACTGATGTGTTAGAGACGGTTATACTATATAGACTAATCAGATCGTGTCACGTGTCCTCCACACGTGGCGATTTGATTCATTGGAAATCTCTTTGAAGGCTCTCATGCTTGACCACATTTGGGTCGATCTATTGACTACTCTAAGTCTGGTAAATGGTCGATCAGATGACCGTTTGCGCCGCAGGTCGATCTTCAACCAGACTCTCCATGGGTCTGGGATCGATCTGCTCTCCCAATGTCGGAATCTCCTCTAAGCTATCTTTCCACTCCAGAGGCTCTTGTTCCTGTTATGTTCGATCTCAACCACCCTACTCGTGCTCTGTTCGAACAGGGGCTGAGTGTTTATTGGACCGGATTACTAGCCCAATTTACTTTCTTAGGTATATTATCTCATATCAAATAGTAAACTAAAGTTGATGTGATGCATGGGAAGATTGATTCATATTATTTAATTATATTACTAATATTAAGGAGGGTTGGGTTAACTTACGTTTAAACTAGATTTTTGAGTTAAAAAATTATCTCGTGAAAGGTGACCACATAATTTATAACCAATTAGGACTTAATATTTCATTTCTTAAAGTGGTTTATATATAAATGGTAAACACTTGTTCGCTCGGCTCACCTTGGCTCGATAAGGTTTGACAAGTCTCGAAAAAGAGAACAAATTATGTAATTTTCTTCCAAATTGTGAGCTTATTCTATTTTATATTTTATTTGTAAACACTTGTTCGCTCGGCTAGCAACTCGACAATCACCTAGCGCCTAGTCGGCTCCTATAAATTAATATTTAAATATCTTATTTTTTATTTATTTTATCTACCTACAAAATAAAATTATCTCAACTTATAATAAATCGACACACCTAAGTCCAAATAATAAAATTAATATATTTTAAAGAAAACATGAGAACAAAATAATGTAATTATTAATAAAAAACTGAAAATTTGTCGCTGAGCCCGCCTAGGAGCACCTAGATCTGCCTATGCCCGCCTAACCGCCGAGCCCGCCAAGTTCGCCTAGGAGCGCCTAGGGCCGCTTAGTCGCCTGGCAAATTTTTTCAACCGTTTCAATCCATATTCAAAATCTAACTCAACATTAACCTACCTTAATATTCTCAATATTATCAATTTAATTAAATAATATCAATTAATTATTCTTACACATCAATCAATTTGAGTTCACTATTCACCAACTCACAAAATTTTAACTAACCATCAACTCATATCATATCTCTCCCACTTTTACATCAAATTAATTTTTTTACTTAATTTTAAAAATTATTTTAATATAACCTTAAAATTCCACTAACAATTAACAATGCATACTTTTTCAAAATTAACTATAGTCAATTAAAAAACTCACATTGAGCGGATATATTTATATCCAAGTATGCCCTTATAAGTCTTTTGGAGAATTGTTTTTAGTTGTTTTGATTTTTTATTTTGTAAAAGATTTTAATGTTTATTTGATATTTATTAATAATTTATGTTTAATATATTACCTTAAATATTTTTAGTGGTGTCACGAGATCTGATTACATAAACATGTTGCAAAATATAAATAAATTAAACGTAATATTAAATAAAAGTAGTTCTCATATTTATAATGAAAATGTATTATTCATAAAAAATGATTTTTTTTTTCAAATGTTCATATTTATGAAAAAAATGTTTAAAAAAGTGTAGATATATGTAAATTAGCATTTAACCGGACATACGGGCAGCCATGGCCTGCTGTCTCTACGGCCCATTTAAATGTGCTCTAATCTGGCCCGCTACGTTACGCCCAAGAGGCTGAAGGCCCCAACTCCATGAGCTCGTGACGTCACCTACTGCCCAAAATTGCCTCAGTTTCATTTTATTAAAACCTTCCACAGTTCACTTTTCTTGAAACACAACTCGGCCTCGTCTCCGACTATGTTTTTTACAGCCACCGCCTCAGTTCCACCGCCGACCAATCTTCAGAATTCTGCGGCGGCCGATCTATAGAGTTCACCGCCCCCACTCCTCCGAAATCTCTTCTCCTCTTCAACATTAAAAACATGTTTAGAACCCCACCGCCACTTCACCGGCGCCTCTTTCATCCTTTGTAAACCCTTAATAAAAACACTAAAAAAGATCTACTAGCTATGGAGGCAGTCGTTATAGACGCCGGTACCAAATCTCTCAAAGCTGGCTTTGCTGTTCCGGACCAGCCTCCGTCTATGGTAACAGCCTTTTTCCGGTTACTTTTTATGTAGCGCGATACTCTTGGCCTTGTCCATAGAATTCTAATGACGTAAAGGTTTCTTTGTTTGAATTTGCGACCGTGTTTGATTAGGGTTTGTTATAGATGACTAAAATCATGTGCCTTGATTTGGAATATAATATTGTAGGGTTTTTTTTTTTTTTTCACTAATTATAGCAGTATCCATTGTGATTGTTCCCTGCAATCCTCATGATGCGTTGTAAAACATATGTGATTGTTCCCTGTAATCTTCACGATGCGTTGCTGATGGAGCTAATAATGTCTTGAAATGGTGATTGGTGATGCTAGCAGGCTAGCAGTATATCAGAATGTGTTTGCATTTGATGACTTTGCTTGTAGCAGTATGCACTGACTTTATTATGATGTTTTTGATGATCTAATGCTTCTGATTGCTTTGCGATCGTAGCACATGCACTGTTTCTTTGATTAAACAGTGTAAATGAAAGGCGGAGATTTTAAATGCAATAAAATCTTGTACAATTATCTACAACATTGTGGCACATCATTATTACTAACTGAATTTGTCTTTTGACATACATGTTTTAGAAAAAAATTATGTTTATCGTGAAATTATTCATTTCCTTTTAGATGCCATCGGTGAAGCGCATAATTAGATAGTGTGGTTACCATAAGATTTGTACCATTTTATTAACGTCACAAGTGCCTTCTACATCGCATGAGATACCTCAGATAATGCAAATAATTATTTGACGTATTTTTTTGATTATTAAGTTGCCGGCACATGCTTTTGAGGCTTTATGTGTCATTCTTTTGACGTAGACTGCAAACATATTTATGAAGAAGGAATGTACTGTTGGTAGATTTGTGGATTGGAACTTATCTCTGTTTCTGCTAGCTTTACATTGTTGATTGAGATTGAACTTGATGGTGAAGAGTAGGGAGCTCAATTGAAGTAAAAAAATAGTTAAAGTAACCCAATCTTTTTTAAATAGGCAATGGAAACTTTTAGGTTAATATTCATTTATGATGGTGGTGTCTTGGAAGTTAATTGCAATCATATACTAAATGTTCCTACTGATCTAAATTTACCATTTTGGTTGATAACATGTACCGTATTATTGAATATTTATCTATGCCTTGGCATGGGGGTATTATTGACATTTTAACTTTTACGTGAAGTCCTGCAAGTGCCACCAAATAGATGAGTTATTTACATTCTTGGCCTTGCTGTAGAAGGAATATTTTCTCATTTAGGTTATCCTACGCTTCCCTCTTTGCTTCACTCTCTCTGTCTCTATGAGTCGAATTGGGAAGCGGCTGCGGCGGCGATTACTCTCACGTATAAGTGAGGCTACGGAACCCGCTGTAATTGATGTTGGTTCTAAGTTTCTAAAATATAATCATGCCTTGCCTAATCTAGGCCCGGAGGTAACCTTTCATTTCTCAAATAGAAGATCTGGATCAGAGTTGATAGGATTTATATTGGAAAGCTGTTTGAGTGAGAGATTTTTTAAAATCTGACCCATTCGTTCTTAGGACATTTTTTTGATCTCTGCCATTTATGAAATTTGTGTTATATATGCTATGGTAGTGGAGTCTGTATCCTATTGCGTGGTCTAGGGTTTTGATCTCCCTTTCGAGGACCTTGGAAGATTGATAGCTGTCTTGGTATTAGTATGATGCTTAAGAACTTTCAAGTTTGAGTTTATGAACAGTAATGCTTCAGAAGAAAGTTAAATAAGAAACGGGAGAATTATGTTATGATTGGCTTGAGTTCAGCCTTAATTATTGAGTTATTGTTCAATGTTCAACCACTTTTAGTTCATCCAATTAATTTTGTCTCAACAATTCACGACGAGGCCTTTGTCTTTTATTTATCATTATTTCTTAGCATTGTCATTATTTTTAACTTTCTTGTGCATTGTAGAGATTCATCTCCATGAATTTCATCGAGTTGGCATATTTTGTTTACATATGAATTAATGCTACCTTATCTTTCCTTTATATGTTGCTTGCATCTTTCCTTAGGTTTCATCTTAAGTACACTTTTGGTGTAATATCTTATGGTTTAAATGCACATATCATCTTCAAATAGGTGCTCTCATCACAAATGAAGAAAATTCCTGAAGATGAGCCCTTGAGTTATTCTGCCTTGCTCGCAAGTATGGATATTGATCCTGTTGAAAGAGGCTTTATCAGAGACTGGGATGCTATTGAAGATATGTTGAAGCATGTACTATACAATAACTTGGGTTGGGAGATTGGCAATGAAGGACAAATTCTATTCACTGAACCGCTTTCAACTCCGAAGGTTGGTCAAAGTCTGTTGGTATCAAGTTAAAAGATTGATCAGTCTCTCTCTTTCCCTTTCTAGTTAAGAATTGTTCGCAAGGTGCCTTTGTGCTAGTAGTGTATGTACATGCATGCATACATTACAACTACTGCAGAAAGGTTACATTTAGTATTGGGAAGAGAATTCTCGATTCTTTCTCTTCGCCTTAATGTTTGGTGATTCTGATAAGATCTTTTTGTGGATGAATTGATCAAAATCATAGTATTTTCTTAACTATATAGATGACTTCAGTCATTTCGAATTCTGTCAATTTTTCTATGACAACATCTCTAATCGAGATTGACATGGAACAGGCAGTTAGGGAGAACTTGGTGCAATTGATGTTTGAAAAGTTCAACATCTCTGGTTTTTATGCGTCCGAGCAAGCAGTTCTGTCCCTTTATGCAGTAGGGCGCATCTCAGGTTGCGCTGTTGATATTGGCCATGGAAAAATGGGTATGTGTCTCCAAATGTGTTACTTGCAATGTCCATTCGTCTAAATTATCTCTTTAGATTGCACGACTTTGCTTGGCCTCATGCGCTTAAGTAACTCCCAACACCATTTTGTGTTTTGGATAAATTCTTATTCTTATACTCAATCTTATCATTGTTGTTCTGGTCACATTTTTTATTTTTTAATAATTGTCTTATACTTCAATGTTCTTCAGACTAATATCCTATATAAATTGAATTGTCTTACACTTCTTATTCTTGTATATAAACAACTTAATTACAATCTAATCGGCCCACTAAGCTAATTACAACCTGATTTTTAACCTACTAAATGCAATCTGTCAAGCTTACTCAGAGCCAAATTAGTTAATTATTTAACAATAGTGCACCCTGAAAATCAGCACATTAAGCCGTTGTAACTTTTATTCGACTGCATTAGTTATCCTGACATCCTAAATGTTGGTAAAGGGTTTGATGATGATGCTATTTCGTATGGTCTGGTACTTAGGTATTTTGGATCTTGTAGGTGGTTAGTGAACAGAAAGAATCAATGATAAAGGATTACCTGATATTTCTTGTTGCAGCTATCTACTTTCAAGAGAATTCTTGGCTCAAGATCAATATAACTAATTAGTGAAGTGGCTGAGATATCTTGAAATTACTAATTGTGAAACTTGTGTTGTGGAAACTTTCTTCTATCGCTCATTTGCACAACCATTGATTGGTACCTACCTACACAATCTTTTTGGACTTCTTGGTCATGACCCTTGCTGGTTGCTAGATTGAGTGGCTGTATAACCTATCTGTCAGTTTCTGTTATGTCAAATCTTGTATACTGACTCTAGAAATGGCTTCTTTTGAATGTCTAATTACCTGTCTAGGACTCAGATGTTCTAGCAGGTACAGATGTGGTAGCAATCACTTGGTGAACAAAATCATTTTTGTTCCTGAGTGGGCCTTTTGACTGTAGCAGAATGAGGCATTTGATGATGACTGTTCCCTGATGACTCTCTTTGGCTTTCTGATAATATTGGTTTTGGAAACTGGTTACTGATGAACGAGTTAGTTTTATATTGTCTTCGTAAGGAAGTTATTGTAGAAGCTTAAGATGACCATATATTCTGGAGCAAGAAAGTGACTAAGACCGCGATGAGGAAAGTATGTTGGGAAGCAAGAAATACTTAGACCTGAAGTTGAATTATTAATGAATATCTTAACTAATGTTGAAGTTGAGAGGAGATAGTGAATTATATGTGGAGACGGCTTAATTAATATATAATAAGACTTTTTAGATTCACCTAAATTTCATCTTCTTTGCTCACTTCTAAAGCTGTTTATTTGTGTGTGTGTGTGTGTGTGTGTGTGTGTGTGTGGGTGTTTTGATTTATGCTTCCATTAGATATAGCCATGTAGGGACCCCCTTGGTGGATTTTCTTGTGATGCCATAGAAACCTGTCTTTTTACTTTTTGAATAGAAACCGGAAGTGAATGTAAAACGGTTCTAAGTTTGACTTATTTATCTAGCAGAGCAGCAGTAGCCGGGCACTTTGTAGATCATTTTACTTTCTGTGAAGCATGTGAAACTCTCTAGCAATATTATCTGAATTATCTTAATTATTTATTTGGTGGTTCCCTTGTGGTTTTAAAAAGCAACATAGAGAACTTCTGACAGATATGATCTTGCCTTCAAAGTGGTAGACTTGGTCGATGACTTGTTCTGTTTCCCATATTTTCAGATATTGCATCAGTAATTGAAGGTGCTGTTCAGCATATATCTTCCCGAAGATTTGAAATTGGCGGCTTGGACTTAACAAATTTATTTGCTCAAGAACTCCGACAATCCAATCCGCAATTGAGGCTTAACCTTTCGGATTTTGAAAAATTGAAGGAGCGGTTTGCATGTTGCGCCGAGGATGATGTAGCCTATGAAAAACTCCAGCAAGCATGCCCTGAGGAGCAACATACATTGCCTGATGGACAGGTAAGACTATATTTCAACTTAATGGAAGACTGAAATTCAAATTTACTGGAGAGGTTATCAGCTGAATTTCTGTCAGCGGAAGCCATTGTGTCTATTGGATATACTTTTCCATTGGCCTTTTCGGTTTGCTACTTTGCACTTAAGATTTATTGGCACAATTACCAAATTTCTTATTTTGTTGGACTACTTGGAGTCAACTGGAACCAATACACTTCGGGTTTACTTACTGCATAGCTGGATTGGGAGTGCTACTTTGGTTGCACTCGAAGATAACATAATGGCTTATTATGCATGTTTTGAACTAGAGTGCATGCTCCCGCTACTTTTCTTATGGTGTTTGTTTAATGCGTCTGCAAATTGGAAATTTTGGTATTCATGTTTTCCTACTAGTTGTGTGGCTCTATAATTTACAAAACAAAGGGCGAGCTTGGGTACAAATATATCCGCTCAAAATGAGTTTTGTTTTTTGGTAACCAGGGTTAAAATTGAAAAATGTGGTATGGTTAGTTGTTAATGCGATTTTGAGTTTATATTAAAATAATATTTAAAATAAAATAATTAAAGTTGAGTTAATGTAAAAGTAGGAGAAAGGTGATGTGAAGTGGTGGTTAGTTAAAATTATGTGAGTGGATGAATAGTGAATTAAAGTTGATGTGATGTTTAAGAATGATTGGTCAATAGTATTTAATTATATTGAAAAAATTGAGGATAGTGGGGTTGGGTTAGAATTGAGTTAGATTTTAAGTACGAATTGAAAATTTTTATCACCAAACACCCTCAAAGTGTTTCTGAAGTTTCTTACATTTGAATTTGCTGTTCTCTGTCTCAGGTGATTAAAATTGGAAGGGAGAGGTACACAGTTGGTGAGGCCCTTTTTGAACCATCTATCTTGAATATGGAAGCACATGGAATAGTTGAGCAGCTTGTCCGTTGCATTTCAACTGTGTCAACTGAGAATCACCGCCAGCTGTTGGAAAATACTGTACTATGTGGTGGAACTTCAACCATGCCTGGTAAGATTTGTTGACAACTCTTTTTTCAAGTGAAGAAGAAACATAGCATTTCTGTATATCCCTTAATCATTATGCATTTGTCTAGATAGGCATCGCCGATTTTAGGACACTCGGCATACTCGTAGTTAAAATTTGGTACAGTAGCCACTTTTAGATACGGTTCTTCAGACCCACAGGGATATCCATCGTTTTGCCTTCTTCTCTGGTCAACCATAAAGGAAAATAGAAATTAAAGAGAGAATTATTGCGATTGGAAGTAAGTTTTTTTGGATTGTATTTGATTTATTGGATGAAGTGAGTTAAGATTGTAAAAGGTTGATAGATTGGGGATCTGGATTTGATTTTGAGTTTGTGAATGGATATGGGTATAAATGTAATGATTAAAGTTGATGTGATGTGAAAGTAGTAAAATAATAATTGTAAATGACTGGTAGTTAAAAATTTGTGAATGGATGAATAGTGATTTTGTTGGAATTGTGTAGTAATGATTTGTTAGATATTATTTAATTATATTGAGGTGAGTTAAGTTTGGATTAGATTTGAGTTGGATTTTTGAGATGAAATTTGTATCCTATCGTAGTTCACTGATCAAAATATCCTTGTTAGTTATAATTCCAGTTTCTTGGAAACATTTTTTTTTTTTTTTTTCCTTTCCCCCTTCCTGCAGATGACATTGAAGTTTTTTCTTTTATTATTGTCTAAATGAAAGTTTTTCGACCTTCACTATCAGCAATTGCGATCTCATTGTTATCTAATTGCTTCAACTATCTTAGGTTGACAGATGTGAATCTGAAAAACAGTTGCTAGTTTTTACATTACAGTATATATTGATTTGACTTCGTGGAAACTTTGAAGAGAGGATTTTGTTGACAAACAAGATTTTTGTCCACTTTGATGACATGGTTTCCATCTAGGATGAATCACCTCATATATGGTGTGCCTTATTCTGGGTTTTTTTT